TCAGTGCTCAGTGGTAAAACCTGAACCATGAGAAATGATGTCATCAGAATGCTTTCAACAGTCTCCCCGACCTAAAAAGTCTTGGTTATAGATATATTTCAAAGACATGAGATACTTTTATTCCCCAAACCCAAATATCAATATTAATAATTTCTCCTTTAAAATTATGTTTATTAGGATTAACAGTAAAAGTGTTTATATTCTGTGATAGTTGTAGTTTTAGACACATTAAATGGCAACTCTAGAAGATGGATAAATAGAAAAAATACGGCAGAAACAAGGAAATAGAATAATGTGAACCACTTTGTAAAGGAAATACTTTTTATTTACAAAATTTTGGCAAAATCTCTTTCTGAAGTAATATAGTATGTAATTGTCATAAATGTATGCTAACGTGCTTAGGGGAACATAAACAAAGATGATATAGAGCAGGGCGATCAATAAAATTTCCTGTGATGACGGAAATGTTCCATTTTGGACTGTCCAACGGGGAAGCCACTGGTTACCTGTGGCTCCTGAGCACCTGAAAGGTGGCTGAGGAGCCGGAAGAAATGAATTTTAAATTTTATTTAATTGTAATACTTTAAATTTAGATGGCCACCTATGGCTAGTGGCTACCCTACTGAACAGCACAAATCTAGAGGAGGAGGATGATGTTACTTCACTTCTGGGTTTAGCTGGACGAGATACTGGATAAAAACATCAAAATGCAGAAGATCACATAAAGAGTTTTCTTGTTCTTTATCTATCTAGCATAAGATCTATAAGAATATAAAATAAGAGAAGATGCAGCCACGTAAAATATGGTTTAATCTGTGCGGGTGACACACATAGCACACGCCGAATGTGAACTTCCCACGTAAAGGTATCATGAGCCAATAGAGAACCCAGCTCTCCTCATGCCCTTTCACACTGACCAGAACAACCACCAAGCCCAAATGGTCCACTTTTATGACTACCCTACGTGAGAGTATACTGTGCATGAATATACAACCTACATGACTATACCGTATTTACTCAGATTTGACTGGCTGTCTCTCCAGGGAACTTCATGCTGTCCAGCTACAGCATGACGGTTTATCAGTTTCTTCTTTCCATACCCTTTGTGGCAGACATTCTCTATTGGCTGGCTCAACCCAAATTTCTAGATACTAGAGGTGGTTTTGTGGCATAGTTCTGACCCGAAAGTTCCTGAGAAAGCCACTGTTTTCCTGACACCAGCACTGCCCCGTCTGCTGCTGCTTCTTCCTGCTGGAATGCTTGTGTTCTGAGGGAAATGCCAAGAAGAACAAGGAGACTTCAGGGCGGACACTGCTGCGCTATGGAGCCCATGTCACGACCTGCCCGACTCTGAACTTCTCATAAAGTGACAGGAGCAGACCTCCATTAGGTAAGCTATTGAACTTGGGTTTTCTGTTACTTGAAACTGAAAGCAATCCTAATGGATACATTTTTCTTCTGTGTTGAGTTACTGGCACTCCAGAACACTTGTAGTTAGTTATTTTTTGTTTGTTCATTTACCTATTTACTTAAACATGTTTTGGGGGTAGATACTATGTGCCAAGCTAAGGGCTAGGTCATATGGTGGACAAGCAGCCAACGTGTATACCCCAGTGTGTATACAGAGCAAACATTCTCGTAAGAGACAAAGACCAACAGACACTTACGTACAGTGTAGTGAGATAAGCACTGTAACAGAGTGTAGGCTTTGGGGTTGGTAGTCAGAGAAGGCTTCCTGGAGGAAATGGCATTTACACTGAGACCTGGATAATGAATAGAACTTAACCATGCAAAAAGGAAGGAATAATACATCTATCACGTCAGCACATAACAGAGAAGACAGAACACAGCTATGAGGAAATGAAAACAGCTCAATGCTACTTAATTATGGGGAGGGGAGATTGAGGGAGAGCAGAAACTTAGGCTGGAGTTTTAAGGAAAGGCCATAACGTGCAAGATCTTGAAGTCATTGAAAGGAGTGTGGACTGTCTTCAAATAATAACGGATAAGCCACCAAAGCCTTTAAAACTAGGGGTGGGGGAGGGGGAGCTATATGGATATACTGTATTTAGAAAAATCATCCTGTGTTCTATGTAGAGAATGGGTAAGAAGCAGGAAGATGTAGTCATTTAAGCAAGACATGATAGCTGAAGAGTAGGGAGGAAGAGAAATAACTGGATTTGAAAGCTATTTAGGTAGTAAATAGCTTTGTGATAGCTTGGCTACTGGGATTGTATTCAATAGAAGGAAGAGTCAAGCATGAGTTTCCAATTTGGACAACTGAATGGGTTGTGGTAATGTTCACTGGAGAGGGATCATAGGAAGAGAAGTAGGTTGCATTTGGAGAAAGAGGTTGTAAGAGGACAAAGATGAGTTCAGCTTTGGGCCTATTAAATCTGAAGTTCCCGAGGGACGTTAAAATGAAAAGAAATCAATAGGATATGCAGGTCTGAAATTCAACGACCACGCTCAGCTGCAAATGGTATAAATGGAGAGTCATCAGCAGACTGAAACTACACAAGTGGATGAATTTTCAGAGAGTATATGTGAGAAAGAAACAGGGAAGAACTTTAGAGGCATGAATCAAATTAGCTTGGCAAACCGCACGTTCTCTATGGGCTAGCAAAAAATGTAATTTGGCTTTTAACTTTCTATTTTACTCTACCCATTGGAGAAATAACTATATACCTTCCTTAGGTGGTAGCTTTTTAGGGACCAAGTCAAAAAATATAAACTGGAAGCCCCTTCTCTGAGGAATCCAAAGACCTAACGAAAATGATCAGAAGAAATGAGAGGGCTATTTGGAGACTCAAGGAGCGTGAAAGAGTGGCATAGAAGGGATAGACCTCTCTTGAAGCCCTAGTTTTGTAACATGAGTAAGCCTTCTTTTTGTCTCCTTCCTGGCTTACATTCCCTAAACTCACCAAATTAATCTCTGGTCTTAATTTGCCTACCCATAGAGGCCTCTCTTTGAGGAGCAGGTATTTCCCAGTGAGATCTTAACTACTGACTCTCTGATACCAACCGATTACATATGAATAAGTCTCCCTGAGCCTAATCTGCCCTCATTTAACTGAACAAACAGCAGATCTGTATTTGGAGCAGAAAGTACAAACCTTGCCAATAAGAGGAGGCAGTAACTTGGAGAATTTTTTTTTTTATCAGTTCCCTATTCAACCAGGGTTCTATTGATAGGGCCCCAAATATAACTCCCCAACTTGAGGTTGAGTCTTCTTTTCCATGGCCATCTGAACACCCACTGTCTGGAATTTAGGGCTACAGCTGCTCTATTCCCCCAGGATGACCAGCTCAAATCCACTTTCACAGGAGTTTAATACTCTTCAATCTTTAACTCAGTTTCAAGATTAACTTGATCTCTCAATTTCCGTATATTAATAGTTCCTTACTCCTAAGAGTTTCTGCTTAGTTCAAAATCTGTTTTCGTTTTCTTTAATGGTGGCCTTTTCTTCTTAATAAAGGCCACCTACCTGACTTCAGTAAGTCACGTTATCTTCTGGAACTCATTTACCTTTCACTGGGATCTTCCTTATCACCGTCCAGGTGCTATTTTTGCCTCTGTTTTCTGACAGAGCTAAAAATGAGTACCCAATAATCCTCGACTTACCATAGCACGAACAAAGTAACTCTAGATTATGCAGAGTCATCATTCAACACATATTTACCCTGCAGCATTATTTACAATAGCCAAGATATGGAAGCAACCTAAGTGTCCATCGATAGATGAATGGATAAAGAAGATGTGACGGAATACTACTCAGGTATAAAAAATTGGGATCTTGCCATTTGTGACAACATGGAGGGATCTAGAGGGTATTATGCTAAGTGAATGAGTCAGACAGAGAAAGATAAATACTGCATGATGTCACTTATATGATGTGGAATCTAAAAAAACAAAACAAAATGAAAACAGACTCATATAGACAGAGAACAAATGGGTGGTTGCCAGATGGAAGGAGGGGGTAAAAGGGCGAAATAGGTGAAGGCGATTGAGAGGTACAAATCTCCAGTTATAAAATAAATAAGCAATGGGGATGTAATACACAGCATGAGGAATATGGTCAATAACATTGTAATAACTTTGTACGGGGACAGACGGTTACTAGACTTATTATAGTGATCATTTCATAATAAGTGCAAATATCAAATAACTATGTAGCATACCTGAAACTAACATAATATTGTACGTCAGCTACATTTCAATTAAAAAAACACAAATATTTACCAGCTCCCTACTAAATCACCTGGTTCAGGATGTGTCAAATAAGAAAGATAGCCTCTGTCCTCAGGGAGGTTAGACTAATGTGAAGGACAAACATTAAACAATTAGTTACATAATTCATGTATTTGTTTATAATTTTGTTTATAATTAGGATAAATGCTAATGAAAGAACAGCACAAGGGGTTACGAGTGAATAATAAGGAGTCAGGACTTAGTTTGAGGAGATGGTGTCTCTAAGAGCTGTTGATTTCCGTAGATATATAATGGGAAATGAAGTTATGAGTCATGTTACACTACACAAATTTTCCCATTGGGTGTGTGGAGGGAGACACAATGACGGCACCAGAGACAGCTATAACTCCACCATGAAGCCCAAAGTGACTTCCCTGTCAGACTAAAGATGGGGCAGTTTGCGGCATGACAGAATAGAACAATATTTCTTTGGATAGAGTTCTCAAAGCAGACTAATAAATGGCTCTTTTAGCTACAAATCAATCTTCTGTTTTTGTCTAATTGCTTAGTTATGTCACTACCTTTCTGACTGTGGGCAAAAGGCATTTCATTTCACCAGTCTTCGGGTCCCTCATCTTTAAAATAAGTGGACTTAGGCAAGACTGTGAGTTTGGTTGGCATCTGTCATCTTGGATCCTCCCAAAGCCCTGGTTTAGCAGGATGGGGAAACAAATTTGCATTATCCACCCAGTGTCACTACCCTATCATTAGAATCAGCAAATAGTTTTAGAAATAATATAGTTCATACCTTTTATGAATGCTTGCCCAAGAGGCACTGATGTTCTCTGTTATCATGTGTATTTTTCTGGTATCATCTGCAGAATAATCCCGAAGAAGTTTCAGTGCCAAGTCATTTGCCACATCTACATTTATCTGCCACTGGCGGAGGTCTTTGGCCAACTGCTATAGATACACGTGGGAAAGAGAACGAATGTCAGTTTTCTCTGAACTCTCTAGCTGCACTTTCTTAAAATGCTTCATAAACAGCTTCTGAATCCTTGGGTCAGAGCATGTCTACATGATTGCTTTTCACCTACCGTGTGTAGTTCAGTCAAACATGATAGTATAAGCTAAGCCATTTTTCATGACAAAACTTTTCAAATCCAGCTTCTTGAGCAATAATCAGTATCAGGTATCTCAATTTAGTAGCAATTAATTGGAAACAAACTTGGCTTAATTGCTTTTATCATGGGAGAGAACAAACTATAAAGATCAGCTCTCAAGTAATTGTTGAGTATGTGACATATACCAAAATTTGAACAGAAAAAAATATCGCATGTTATTTCTTTTCCTCGTCATTAACTTGTTGAATTGTTTATGTAATTAGTGCCATCTACTGGCATTCAACTAAAGCTGCATACGGAAAATATTAAGCATCAAAAAAAACCGTGCTGTTATTCTAGTTATGAACTTATTTAAAGGATCAGTTTATTCATAATACTTAAAAAATCTCCTACTTTAAAATCAGAATAAAATTTTAAATATAAGAATTTTGCTAAACCAAATGACGTATGTTTCCTTCTTTTGTATCTTTAACAACTGAGTATTATCAAACCATGTATTTCATCGCTTGAAATATCATACATCAAGAAAGAAATAAACCAATGACAGGTTTATCCGGATGCATATTAACCCCAAGTTTCTATTAAACATTGCTTCAGGCGCATGGAAGAGGCTTCCAAGCATTACGGTATTATTAAATTACAAAGATAGTTATATCAAATCCAATATAGTGGGTTAAATGGACAAAGGAATAGTAACAAGCAATTCAAACAAGAGAAAGAATAAAAAGTTTTTATAGAAAAGGAAAACAATCAACTTTCAAAACATGAAAAAATAAGAGTATTACAATTTGACACCAATTAAGTTTAAAAAAATAAAACCCAAAGCTGGAAAGACTGTAGCCAAACTAGCGCATTCATACACTACTGATGGGAACAGCATCTATTAGGACAATTTGGCAATATATATCAAGTGACATACAAACGCTTATTCCCATTGACCCAGTAATCTAATTTTAGTATTTTCTCCCAGTAAAATATTTAAAAGAAAAGACATACATTATAGGGATAAAGATCTTCATTAACTAAGACAGTAAAAAAATGAGAAACAATTTCAATGTTTAATGAGAGGACATTAAAATAAGGCAATACATCAACCCAGTGGTCTAATATGCAGTAAGTGTGCACAGAAATCACAAGTTAAAAAAAAAGAAAAGAACACAATTTCTACCTTCACTGTATTTCTTAAATCTGTAAGAGTACATTGACATAAATTGGAAGGAAAATTGAAACTAACTGATGTTTCTGAAAAGAGTACTCATTTTTGTTTTAGTATTTGTTCTTTTATGTTAATATGATTTATGGTAATAAAAATCAAACACTCGTACTTTTCAACATAGTTTCAGTATATTTGAGTACACTCCTGTTCCTTGGAAATCCATAATCAGTATATAATCTGGCATTTCTCAGTTAATTAGAACATCCTATTCCAGAATCAAACGAAATAATTGCGTTTATTGCATATAGCAAATAGACCCAGATAACAGAACTAGTAGGAAGCAGCTAAAGCCAGTATCACTAACTTTTGCTATAAAAATAAGAAGAGAGACAATTTTTAAAGGCACACAGTATACTCGCTGTACTATAAAGCAGTTACAATTTAACCCTGTGGAATTCCTGCCTTTTCTTTTTTTTTTTTTTTTTTTTTTTTTTTTTTTTTTTT